GCTATGTACAGGAGGGGGGGGCCGCCTTAGCTCCTGGGGGTCTCGCGCTCTTTGCTGTCCGTGTCCTCGGGGTAGGCGTGCCAGGTCAGCCGCTCCTCGTAGAAAGCGATGACGATTTGGGGACACTTGAGGTTCGCCTCCTTCGCCAGCACCAGGTCGGCCTCGTCCGTGTCCTTCCTGAGGGGGGACACACACACACAGAATAATAAGGGGGTCGGGGGGGGACACAGAAGGTGGCGGTCACCCCCCTTGGGGACACGCGGGGCAGCCTCACCACTTCATCAGGAACATCAGGTCCCCGCAGGAGTCGGTGGCACCGATGATCTTCTCGGGCTCCAGCCCCCGCTCGAAGCCCCGGGCGATGTCGTTGCTCTGCAGGTGTTTTTTTTTTTGGGGGGGGGAAAAAAGGGGATTTTTGGGGGTGAGGAGGTGTGGGTACGCCTGGGCGGGGGGGAAGGGGGTACAGCCCCGGTGCGTGGCAGTTGGAGGTCACAGGGTTGGGGACAGCCTCCCCCGGCTGCTGCGGGCCCTTCGCGGTGGCACTGGGTGCCCGTCCCCATCGCTGGGTGCCCGTTCCCATCACGGGGACATTGGGTTCCTGTCCCCATCCCTGGGTTGCTGTCCCCATGGTGGGGATGCCAGGTGCCTGTCCCCATGGCTGTGTCCCTGTCCCCATCACGGGGACACTGGGTGCCTGTCCCCATGATGGGGATGCTGGGTGCCCATCCCCATCCTTGGGTGCCCGTCCCCATGGCCAGGTCTGCATCCCCATCACGGGGACACTGGGTGCCCGTCCCTATCCCTGGGTGTCCATCCCAACTGTGGTGGCACTGGGCATCTGTCCCCATTGCAGTGACACTGGGTTCCTGTCCCCATCTCTGGGTGCCTGTCCCCATCCTGGGGACACTGGGTTCCTGTCCCCATCCCTGGGTGCCTGTCCCCATCCCCAGGATGCTGGGTGTCTGTCCCCATCCCTGGGTGCCTGTCCCCATCCCCAGGATGCTGGGTGTCTGTCCCCATCCCTGGGTGCCTGTCCCCATCCCCAGGATGCTGGGTGTCTGTCCCCATCCCTGGGTGCCTGTCCCCATCCCCAGGATGCTGGGTGTCTGTCCCCATCCCTGGGTGCCTGTCCCCATCCCCAGGATGCTGGGTGTCTGTCCCCATCCCTGGGTGCCTGTCCCCATCCCCAGGATGCTGGGTGTCTGTCCCCATCCCTGGGTGCCTGTCCCCATCCCCAGGATGCTGGGTGTCTGTCCCCATCCCTGGGTGCCTGTCCCCATCCTGGGGACACTGGGTTCCTGTCCCCATCCCTGGGTGCCTGTCCCCATCCTGGGGACACTGGGTTCCTGTCCCCATCCCTGGGTGCCTGTCCCCATCCTGGGGACACTGGGTTCCTGTCCCCATCCCTGGGTGCCTGTCCCCACTGCAGTGACACTGGGTTCCTGTCCCCGTCCCCGGGTTCCTGTCCCCATCCCTGGGTGCCTGTCCCCATCCTGGGGACACTGGGTTCCTGTCCCCATCCCCGGGTGCCTGTCCCATGGCGTTACAGCAGAAATCTGATTAACTGCGCTCTTCCCTCCGCACAGGCCCGTTCAGCACCAGCAGCCGCAGCCTCAGGCCGTGGGAGCTGCCCGAGCGTAAATTTCCTGATAAAACCAACGCTGCAAACACAGAACTCGCCGAATCCGGCAGATGGGAGCGGGACGAAGGAGATAAGGACCAAGGAAACAATTCCAAGGGAATGAGGTCACTTCAGAAGGCAGCCAGCCCAGCGACAGTGCAAACCAGTAAGAAATCAAGAGATTGACCAGAATTACAGGGTTGGACTTGGGGATCAGGCGCTGGGTGGTACAGGTGTAACTGGGGGGCACGATCTGGGGCTGGGGTCCCTCTCTGGAGGCACCCGGCCGGAGCTGACACCTGGGAACTGATCACAGAGGAACTGGAAACCTTCCCTCGGACCCGACGCTACCCAGCGGGACCCCAGGGCGCGACCCTGCTGTGGTGGCCGGCGTGTGGAAATCCCTAACAATGGCTGGGTGCCTGTCCCCATCCCTGGGTGCCTGTCCCCATCGTGGGGACGCTGGGTGCCTGTCCCTGTTGTGGGGACGCTGGGTGCCTGTCCCCATCACAGGGACGCTGGGTGCCTGTCCCCATCCTGGTTGCCTGTCCCCATCTCTGGGTGCCCGTCCCCATCCCTGGGTGCCCGTCCCTGTGGTGGGGACACCAGCTGCCTGTCCCCATCACAGGGACGCTGGGTGTCTATCCCTGTCCCTGGGTGCCTGTTCCCATCCTGGGAGTCTGTCCCCATCTCTGGGTGCCCATCCTCATCCCTGGGTGCCCGTCCCTGTGGTAGGGACACCAGCTGCTTGTCCCCATCACAAGGATGCTGTGTGCCCGTCCTGATCCCCAGCATCACAGGGATGCTGGGTGCCTGTCCCCATCCCTAGGTGCCTGTCCCCATCCCTGGGTGCCTGTCCCTGTGGTAGGGACACCAGCTGCTTGTCCCCATCACAGAGATGCTGGGTGCCCGTCCTGATCCCCAGGTGCCCATTCCCATCACAGGGATGCTGGGTGCCCATCCCCACCCCTGGGTGCCCGTCCCCATGTCAGTCCTCCCCCTCACCTCCCTCTTCTTCTTGGCCTTGACGTCCTCCCCGCCGGCGGGCAGCCCTCCTTTCCTCTTGGCGCTCTCCGCCTTCTCCCGTGGTTTGTTCCCGTCACCCTCCTTCATCTTCTTATACTTCCTCATAAACTCCGAGATCAACTCCGGGCAATCCAGATTCTTCTCCGGCTCCCAAGTGTTGTGTTCCCTGTCACCAAATGACCGTCATCATCATCATCATCATCACCACCACCATCCCCCCGTCCCCAGTGGTACTTACTCGGAGAAGCCCTTCCACTTGAGCAGGTACTCGGCCTGGCCCTTCACCACGCGCCGGTCCAGCACCTTCTCCACCACATACTCCTCCTCGTCTCCCGAGGACGAGCTGTCGGCTGGCCGCTTGCTCCTCTTGCCCATAGCGCAGCGCCCACGGGTCCTGGGGTGGTAAAAGGGCGGGTTTGGGTGTGAAAGGGATGGATTTGGGGTAAAAGGAGCAGGTTTGGGTGGTAAAAGGGCAGGTTTGGGTGTAAAAGGGATGGATTTGGGGGCAAAAAGGAGCAGGTTTGGGTGGTAAAAGGGCGGGTTTGGGTGTGAAAGGGATGGATTTGGGGTAAAAGGAGCAGGTTTGGGTGGTAAAAGGGCAGGTTTGGGTGTAAAAGGGATGGATTTGGGGGCAAAAAGGAGCAGGTTTGGGTGGTAAAAGGGCGGGTTTGGGTGTGAAAGGGATGGATTTGGGGTAAAAGGAGCAGGTTTGGGTGGTAAAAGGGCAGGTTTGGGTGTAAAAGGGATGGATTTGGGGGCAAAAAGGAGCAGGTTTGGGTGGTAAAAGGGCGGGTTTGGGTGTGAAAGGGATGGATTTGGGGTAAAAGGAGCAGGTTTGGGTGGTAAAAGGGCAGGTTTGGGTGTAAAAGGGATGGATTTGGGGGCAAAAAGGAGCAGGTTTGGGTGGTGAAAGGGCGGGTTTGGGTGTGAAAGGGATGGATTTGGGGGTAAAAGGAGCAGTTCTGGGTGGCAAAAGGGCAGGTTTGGGTGTAAAAGGGATGGATTTGGGGGCAAAAAGGAGCAGTTTTGGGTGCTAAAAGGGCTGGTTTGGGTGTGAAAGGGATGGACTTGGGGTAAAAGGAGCAGGTTTGGGTGTGAAAGGGATGGATTTGGGGGTAAAAGGAGCAGTTCTGGGTGGCAAAAGGGCAGGTTTGGGTGTAAAAGGGATGGATTTGGGGGCAAAAAGGAGCAGTTTTGGGTGCTAAAAGGGCTGGTTTGGGTGTGAAAGGGATGGACTTGGGGTAAAAGGAGCAGGTTTGGGTGGTAAAAGGGCGGGTTTGGGTGTAAAAAGGATGGATTTGGGGTAAAAGGAGCAGGTTTGGGTGGTAAGGCGGGTTTGTTGGGTGTGAAAGGGATGGATTTGGGGTAAAAGGAGCAGGTTTGGGTGGTAAAAGGGCGGGTTTGGGTGTAAAAGGGATGGATTTGGGGTAAAAGGAGCAGGTTTGGGTGGTAAAAGGGCGGGTTTGGGTGTGAAAGGGATGGATTTGGGGTAAAAGGAGCAGGTTTGGGTGGTAAAAGGGCGGGTTTGGGTGTGAAAGGGATGGATTTGGGGTAAAAGGAGCAGGTTTGGGTGGTAAAAGGGCGGGTTTGGGTGTGAAAGGGATGGATTTGGGGTAAAAGGAGCAGGTTTGGGTGGTAAAAGGGCGGGTTTGGGTGTAAAAGGGATGGATTTGGGGTAAAAGGAGCAGGTTTGGGTGGAAAAAAGGTGGTTTTGGGTTTGACAGGGATGGGGATGGAGCTCCGGGTCACCGCATCCCTAAAGCCGCGTGCGGGAGGCCTGGCGGAACAAAAGAAAAGCGCCGGTTTGAGGCAAAATTGTTGTTTTGGGGAAAAAAGCGCCAGTTTGAAGCACAAAAGGTCACGTTTGAGGCACAAAAGCACCCGTTTGAGGCAAAGAAGGGCAGTTTTGAGGCAAAGAAGAGGCGGTGTGTCTCGGCCTGGCGCGTCCCCGTGCTCGGGCCGGTCCCGGTGCTCGGTGCTGCACAACGGTCCGGACCGCGGGGGCGGGGCAAGCAGCGCGCCACCTCTCCCCATTGGCCAGGGGCACACGGAGTCCGCTCGCCCATTGGCTGAGCGCG